GGACATTTATACTTTTTGAGTTTATGAATTTAATTTATTATTTGTAGCTATGCAGTTGAACAAATTTCGTTGCTTTTCTTGTAGGAAAACTACTTAAATGGAATCAGCCTGGAACTCCTTCAAAGACAGCAGAGCTCAAAACCATTACAGACTGGATTGGAGGAGATATTATAAGGACAAATGAAGATGGTAATTTTCAGTTAATAAGAATTATTACATGTGGTATAATTCTCCTAACACAAATGTCCAGTTAGAAAAAATTTCATGATGTATATACAAATCAATAATACAGCATAATTAAGCCACTCTCTCTTTGTGTAATTTTATTGGGTAGTAGAGATGACATTGACTGAAACACTCTTTTTTAATGGATACTATAAAATAAATTATGAAGATACTATAAAATAAATTATGAAGCTCTTAGCCAATCAAAATAACTTATTTAGCATATATTCTGAACTAGAATACACTTGTCTTAGGGTTAGCTCTAGTTCACCCCTGGGTCTGGGATTTACTGCAAATTAAAGTTAAAGCAGCCGATACCTCTTATTTGCTAAGGTGTGAAATGATAACCTCCTTGATCAACACATACATTTTTAAAAAATGGGTAAAAATGCAAGCCTTGTTGAGTCTAAAGATGGAAATGATTTGCATCTATATCAATGAAAAGTTTACGTCAAACATGTCCAAATAAAATTGAGAATGGAAATCAGGAATGTGTCAAAAAAACAACAACCCGACCGAAGAACAGACAACATCCGAAGGCCACCAATGGCTCTTCAATGCAGCGAGAAACTCCCGCTCCCGGAGGCGTGCTTCAGCTGGCCCCCAGACAAAAATGTATACTAGTCCAGTGACAACGGACGCCATACCAAACTCCGAAATATACACAAGAAACTAAGATTATAAATCATACAAGACTAAGAGGCTCCTGACTTGGGACAGGCGCAAATACACGGCAAGGTAAAACATGTTTTTTGAGTATATCCAAATGTATATTTAGTGTGAATCGTCCTTCAAGTTTGTACTCCATCAGGCAAAGTTGACTTTAGATGGAGTTGACTATTTTTTATGTTCTTTTTGGTAATATATGTTCTCATACTTCGTTGGCTTTCCAATATTCGGCTTTGACCGTTCCTGAAGAGGGTAAATTTAGAAAAGCCTTTCGAACTCATGGAATTTTTAACGTATTGTTTTTTTTTTCTCAGTAATATATCAATGAAAAGTTTACGTCAAATATGTCCAAACGTATTCCTTCGGTAACATAATCATGTACATCGACAGATTTATTAAACTGTCTTATATTTATTTTGATCAATCGAGTCAGACGTAATTGTTATTTGTTATAATGATGAACTAGACATCGTTGAGACGGGAGCAATTTCTGTGTGTCCCGCTGTGAATAACGTGTGGTAAAAAATTAGTATCTTTACAATAAGACATGGGGTTGTCAATTGAATCCAACGTTTTTGACCCTGAACTTTGACCTAGGAAGTTGTACATACATCATGACACACCCTCTGGTGTTGGTTAATATATATGTCAAGTATAAACTTTGAAACCATAACGGTTCTTCAGATATAAATATATATATCAAGTTGTTACGAAGGGAAGGTCAACCTATCAGGTGCAGGAAAACGATCAAAGACGGGCAAACACTTTTATAGTTGTATAACCACTTACTCCTCCAATCTCATAACCTAAATATTTGCTTGGATGATATGACCACAATGATGATGTGACTAAAGACGAAAAAAAAAATAAACTGAGTTAATTATGATTTGTTATAGTAACTATCTCTGTGATGTAATTCGTTGGATATATCAAGGTGTAATACCACAATTGAATTCCCCTATCAGTCTTTGTTAAATTTGCACTTTTCAAAAAATTGTGCAGAATTTATTTTTGTTTCAACTAAAGAAATACTTGGCATGACTAAAGTTTCATCCTGTTCAGTACTACAGAAAAAAACACTTTCACATAACATTCCATTGCATATAAGAAAATAACCATCACTGGAAGTTTACCAATCAAATGTTCATCTCATTTCCCTTTTCATGAATGTGACTTACCGAATAAGACTATTTACCGGGTTTGTAATAACATGAGCAACACGACGGGTGCCACATGTGGAGCAGGATCTGCTTACCCTTCCGGAGCACCTCAGATCACCCCCAGTTTTTGGTGGGGTTCCTGTTGCTTAGTCTTTAGTTTTCTATGTTGTGTCATGTGCACTATTATTTGTCTGTTTGTCTTTCTCGTTTTTAGCCATGGCGTTGTCAGTTTATTTTCGATCTATGAGTTTGACTGTCCCTCTGGTATCTTTCGCCCCTCTTTTTTTTACCTGTGTGCGAGTTTTAGTAACCATGTTCAAATGATGTAACCTCAAGTTTCCAAAATAGTCTATAGAAACCTCAAATAAAAAAAATAATGGTGCTTTGAAATATCCAAGATATATGTTTATGACTTAGAAATGTTTTACTGATATGAAATGTAGGATTAATTACCTACGACTGTCAAATTCAAGGGAATACATGTTTCGACCTATTTTTGTATGCAACCGGATGTGACGTACTATGATTTGTGGTATTACACCTCAACACAAAATTCTTGATGTACTTTTTCGATATGATGTGAATTGTTAAATACATAATAATTGGAAAACACGAGTTTACTTTAGCAGATCTAACCATTAGGAGATGGTTTGCCATTTCTTTTATAAACTTTCAGTCAATTAATGCCTATTTAAATGTAAGAACAATACTAAAACAAAGGTAACCGAATCTAAAATTAAGCATGTGACATTTTGCTAAATGAGGCAATTATTCATTAGGTACCATATGTCTTAGATTTGAGTAAACATATGTCATCGTACGGCCTTCAGCAATGAACTAAAATTAAACAATACTATAAGCTATAAAATTCCTTGACAGGACAAAACGTCAAATTTCTCAAAGATTTATGACACATATTTCATTATGATAAACGCGCATGTCGTCCATATAAAATTCAACAGTAAGACAGCCAAATCATGTACATTGTATGTTCCAATGTGTAGTCAACCACTTTCACCATATTCTACAAGTGTTTAAAATGTAGAATTCTAAAGATTACTTACATTATTGTTAAATTGATATGTCGAAGAAAACATGCGGGACATACCAATCAAACTATATATCAAAATGCATGTTAAAAAAACAAATAACAAAGCGATTACCTAAAAATTAAAAAAAGAAGAAAAATTGTACATGATACTAAGCAGAACATAGCAAACTAAAGAACAAACAACACCTACCCCACTTAACTTGAGGGTGATCTCGGTTCTACGACTATAATGACATCCGTGAAACATTAACACTGAATAGAAAGAACTCGCACTTGGAAAGCTGATAATTTCTCTATTTCTTATAGATTAGATATAAACCGACCAGCATTGTCATCTAGAAGATGTAAGTTCAGATATTAGAAAGCTATAATTGTATCCGTTGAATTATTTAAATTGATATCAAAGGGATACGCGCTTTCAAGATAATAAATAAAATGAAATTTAAATAGTATTGATATCACAACATCTTTAAAACGAAACTTTTAATTTTCCAGAGAAGCTAATGTATTATATCTCCCTCATATTAATAAAACTATCAACGTATACAAATTTATTAACTTGTTGTAATGTTATTTTCTATCAAAAACATCAAAGCCTTGTCCGATTCAGAAAGAGTATCTGCATGTTCCTGTTCACGTTAAACACTTTGCGGGGCAAATTCTCCAATCACATGTTCTTCATAAGTTATATTTCAATTTTTCAATTGAATGTTTAAGACTCACGATATTTAGGCTGTTTGACTAACATATTTTGTATTGAAGCATTGTTAACTATATTCTTTTCACAGGGCATAGTTTGACTTGCCGCACTATTTGTGAATCGGGAAATAGCAGAGCTCCATTTTAATTCTGTTTTGGTTGTCGTGAAGCTATCAATTACTAGCGAATACTTTTATTTCTATCCGCATCGACTACTGTTTAAGCTTCTAAATCTTCATGAATTTAAAACAAACGGATGTTCCTATAATAGGATAGTACAATACAAGATTTCCCTATAAGCACAAGGAACAAGCCAAGGGGTCACATAGGTTAAAGGATCGTAGACTTGGGAAAGGACATAGACAAAAAAATACAAACCATAAATTTCAACACAACTTATCCTCAATGGCATCAATCGCAATACTCCAATAATCAATGTGTAAGAAAAAATCACTGAGAAATACTATTATTATAACTTTAAGACTTGTTTTTGAAATGTTTTTCAATGTTTAAGTGTTTTCAATACATTTGCAATGCAATATTTCTTTCTAATATAACTATGGCTCAAAAGTTTGAATATTATAAGTGGGTGATCTTTTATTTCAGCTTATATCGAAATATACTATTCATACAAACTAATGCAAAATGCAAATCAATAATAAATCATTGTTGGTTTAAAGCTTGTTTTGACAAAATTGACTGCTCATAACGCAATTGTATTTCATATATCGGCATTTATATATGTTTGAAACAAACAAAATCATATTTTAATTTTTCTTTTTTTCAATTTCGAAGTTAATGCCTTTTAAAAGATATCTACACTAAATTCAGTTATCCCTGGTTGTTCGATATCATGTGTATTTCAAGTCAGGAATATGACAGTTGTTTTCCATTCGTTTGATGAGTTTAGGCTTTTGATGCTGGCATTCGGTGAGGGACTTTCAGATTTGAATTTTCCTACATAAATAATAAAGGTAACACACGAGTTGAGTTTCATAGTTATAAAGCAGAATTATACGTTTTGTCACATATCGTTAATGGACGTTCATTCAAATCATGTTGAACTTAAAAGTTTTTAGGAGTGTAATGTTAATCCGTTTTTTTTTGTATTTCAGACATTATTGTTTTATATTGAAGTCAATAACAGAATCATAATCAATGTCATCAAATAAAGCTTAAAGTTTATATATCACTACTCACCGTCTAAGTGTGATCTCCCTGAAAGTCATAAAAAGAATATTCAACGATTAATAAATCATATATGTTTTCTTGATTTACAGTATGATTCATTATATGATTTACACGTTAACATGCTACTAAATACAGACATGTTATTCCCTGATTATTATAACTCTAATGATGTTACAAATTATAAATAGATGAGATTAAGTTCATCCTTCTATGATATATCACGTGCAATTGTATATTCTAATATGACGTGCTTCTTTCGCTTTGTGAACCATACCGTGATAAAATTCTCGATATATCTATGCTTAGAGCAGACTCAGAGATGTACATTATAATGGCTGTTATAATTTACCTCCCCCGTAAATCCACATGTATCGTAACCTATGTGCAAACACTATGCCGATTTCGCTGAGTTAAAATTGCAATTGAAATAAAAAACTACGGGACCTTTATTCTTATTCTAAGGCATAACAAAAAGAATTAATGCATTAGAGCTCGGCTCGTAAAAAGTACAAAATCAAAATAAAATAAAATTCCGCGAAAGTCCATTAATCACGGTTTTTTGGTGCATTAGAGTCATTTCAAAACATGACGTCATACGAATGAAAACGCCAAAAGCTTATTTTTTTCCGTTACGTCAACCCTCAAAATTCGGATAATATTGCATTGAAATGGAGTTTTAAGGTTGGTGTTGTTTAATTTCTATTCTGTTGCATTATGCGCACATTAACTGATTTTAGCAAGTCAAAATGGCGGCTCCTTAGTAACGAAATGTCAACTGTGAATTTGACGGTAGCTTACCAGAAAAAAAATGTAAATTAAAAATGTCAAACGTTGGGGTTGAGATTTAAAAGAGATAAAACATTTTTCTAACGCCTTAAACGGTGATTTACGAAATAATTCATGCACGCTATAGATTTATTGGAGATTTTTAGCTTTTACTAACAGGAGGTAAAATAGAACAGTCACACACAGGGCATTACCCAACCTTGCTTCAGTTTTTTAATGATCGTATGTGTCCTATTATAATCGAAGTAATTCATGAAAGCCATATATTTGTGTTAAATTTACACATGGCCTGGGCTGTGATATTCGTTAATTTTATCCCTCGCTAACGCTCAGGATAAAATTCTAATATCACGGCCCATGTAATGTGTAAATTTCCAACAAATCTATGGCTTCCATGAATTATTTCTTGAATAATGCATTTTCTAGGTATGTTTTATTTCATGTCATACATTTAAAAATGTAAAACAATATTCTTTCTGTGTTAAGAGATTTTTTTTAATGACAAAATCAGTCAAAAAAGGTCTTCCTTGTGGCTGCCTTTTTTTCACTGTTCACATTAACTAAACATGCTTAGCCGATCCCCGTTAAGGTTTAAATCAAAGTTCGCCTAAAAAAAGATTCAAATGAGTTGAATTATTGACAAACAATAAAACATCATCGATGTGTTTAAGCTTATTTTGACAAAATTGAACCAAAACTGACTTCTTATAGCAACACATAATTTCATAATTTGACTTTTTGGAATTTTGGGTCCTCAATGCTCTTCAACTGTGTACTTGTTTGGCTTTATAACTATTTTGATCTGAGCGTCACTGATGAGTCTTATGTAGACGAAACGCGCGTCTGGTGTATTAAATTATAAGCCTGTTAACTTTTATAACCAATTATAAATGTATAAACAACCACAATCAACTTTTTCAACTTTGTAGATAATATAAAAAAAAGATGTGGTATGATCGCCAATTAAACCTCTCTCCAAAAAAGAACAAATGACACAGAAATTAACAGCTTTAAGTCACCGTACCGCTTTCAACAATGAGCAAAGCCAATATCGCATAGTCAGCTATAAAAGAACCCGAAATCAAAAATGTAAAATAATTCAAACGAGAAAACTAACGGCCTACTTTATGTACAAAAATACCGTTTTAAAGATATCTAGATACAATAAGATGTGGTATGAGTGTCAATGAGACAACTCTGCATCCAAATCACAATTTGTAAATGTAAACCATTATAGGTCAAATTATGGTTTTCAACACGGAGCCTTGGCTCACATCGAACAGCAACTCAGTTATCCCTATTTGTTTGATATCATGTGGATTGCTATATAAATAATAAGGAAATAGAAGAGTTGAGTTTCATAGTTATAAAGCATAATCATATGTTTTGCCACACATCCTTCATGCACGTCCAATCAAAATATGCTAAACTTTAAAGAGAGTACATACTTGATATATGATATCATTATAAAACAGTGAAGATTTGGCTTGCTTGTAAATGATATATGTATACACCAGGGACCAACTGACCTTGAAGTGGTAACTATAAATCACCGTTCGGCCTTTAAGAATTGAACAAAACCCTAACCATATAGTAAAACATACTTTTGCATACGTTCTAATTTGAAGTGGGTTAGTAATTGGTCTCGCACCTCAATGGCCAAACAATTTAATCAGCAGTCTTTTGTTGTGCTTTTTTTCTTAAACTTTAATCACTGTGTTGTAAATTAAATCATTTCTCATCGAAGCAACTTATACAAGCAAAATTCCAAGCTCAATTCAAACTGAATGGAATAAATGCCTTTAAAAGAAAATGCTTGACTTAAATGTCTGTCTTCAAAACCGTAATTTTTTAATATCAAGATCAATTTCAGAGGTCATCTTCTCCTGTCATTATTAATTAAAGAAAAAAGTAGTATGTCCACGTTGAAAAAGTAATTTGTCGGGAAAAAATAATGTAAATAGTTCACAACTTAAAAATGACTTCTACTTTAATTCAGAATTTTGTGTAAATAAAGATAATGATATGATTACATAATTAACGTGGGATGTAAACATTGTGAATGTGAATTGAGACTTGTTGGGTATATACTCATTAATATATTTTTACATCAAGGATAGACTCTATTGAAATTAAAAAAAATAATGCATCTAATTACTGGTTTCAAGTCAGAAGTTGTGCAAGTAAAGGCAAATCTAAACACTACTTAAACTGAGGTGGAAAAACTTAGACAAGATCATGTCGAACTTGAGAGAGGTATAGGACATATAGAGTCACAACGTAATACTCTACGAATGGACAAAATTAAAATCTCTGAAAAAAAAGCATCGTCGATAAACTATTTGCATGGAAAGACTCTTTTATAGAAAAATATGAGCGTAAATACAAAATTCTCATTTACGGTATAAAACAAAAAGAATGTGAGGTCATATGGGAAGTCTTAGACAACTTTGTGTAAAGGAGCTGGGGGAAGAAAAGTATTAAGCAGACAGTTTCACCATTGCAAATGCTCATAAGATTCCCTCAAGAGCCCAAGTTTTTGCCCAAAAAGGCCAGATGTATAATTGTGAGATTTATGAATTATTCTGATAAACAATCAGTTATGGAAAATGAATACAAAATTGCGAATAAAAAAGGAAGAGTAGTAGATGTTGAACTACTTATAATGAAAGAGCCCCGAAATGATCTAGCAAAAATTGCATATGAGAACATTGAGAACTGATGAGAAATTACAAACCAGGATAAAAGTAATGGGCATAGTCCTGGTCCTAGAAACAAGCTGTTACTCAAATGATGTGTGGAATATGCGCAAAATATTTAATTGTGTCCGATGATACAAGTGCATATCTAATGGTGACTACACAAATTGTAAATACAGGCTGAGATGATATCATTCGTTTTTTTTTTTTGCTATGCCTGAAACACTTATTATACAACTTGAATATATAAAAATGTTCAATCTGTTTTAGAACTTGTTTATCAGTAAGTATACTGCTGTTGTTAATTTTATTTTATTTTTTTTTTGTTTGCTTGTGCGTTGATTTTTTTTTTTATGCTTTTGATGTAGTTGCAATCCTATAGACTGCACGTTAGTTTTTAGTTTAATTATTTTATCATTATTTTTCTTTAGTTTTGGCAAAAACAAAATGTATATTTATCATCATTCATTGTGACATATAGGAAATAAAGGCAGCAGTAGTATATAGCTGTTCGTTAGTCATAAATCGATTGAGAGAATTGAGAGAAAACAAATCCGGGTTACAAGTAAATACTGAGGGAAACACATCTACTATAAGAGGAAAACAACGAAACAACAGAAACACTGAAGTGCAACACAAAACATAACGACAATGCAACACACACAGAAAAACCTTATATCATAAAAAGAAAATGATAGATATTTGACACCACATGTTGTTTTTACTAATCAGGTTTAGATTTAAATATAAACTGCTTTGTAGAGAAAGCAAGCGCGATAACGTCTTCGCAGACTGTGTGATGTCACTGATAATTTCTCCACAGACATAATGATATCACTGTTGCATGTAATACCGTCTAAAAGCCTCAATGAATTATGTAGCGACTAGGCAGGCTGGTGTTTGCGAATGGAAGGGCGTAAAGCTGATAGGAAAGTTGCATTACTTTAAACAAATCATATATTTCAATTGCACAATATTCATTTAGATTAAATTTAACAATATGTTCGAGGATTGAAGATTACAAAGATAGCTCTATCAATATATTATTGAAAAGTTGTGTTAATTAAGGTTGGAGGAGTGTAATGTGTGGAAAATTTAACTGATTTTGTATTACAGACACGATTGGTGTTTATTAAAGTCAATTACAGAATCATTATCAATGTCATCAAATAAAGTCTAAAGTTAATAATCACTATTCATTTTTCATCTCTTTTCAGCGTGAAATCACAAAAATGATATTTCACGATTAATAAATTATATATTTTATCTTGATTTACAGTATGATTCATTATAGAAATTACACATGTTACTAAATACAGACATGTTAAAAATAATAAATAGATGAGATAAAGTTAATATTTCTTTGATATATGACGTACAATTATATAATCACGATTTTTCTAGGTATGTTTGATTTCATATTATAGATTTAAATAATTATGTAAACAATTTTTCTGTCGGTATTAAGAGATTTGTTTTATTACAAAGTCAGTCAAAACAAATGTCGTCCTTGTGGCTGCATTTTTTCACTGTTGACATTCTTGTCTGATTAAGAACTAAACATGCTTAGCCCATCCCCATTAAGGTTGCAATTAAAGTTCGTTTGAATACAGATTCAAATTAGTTGAATTATTGATTTTATAAACAATAAAAGATCATGGATGTATTCAAGCTTATTTTGACAAAATTTAACCAAAACTGACTTCAAATAGCGAAATTTAATTTCATAATTAGGCTCTTATGTACAATGTATTAAACAAACAAAATCTTAATTTTTTTTCACTTTGTAGGTAATGCCGTTTTAAAGGTATCTACACTAAATTCAGTTATCCCTGGTTGCACAATAATACGTGGATTCATATATAAATGACCAAAAAAAACACAAGAGTTGAGTTCCATAGTTATAAAACATAATTATATGTGTTGCCACACATCCATTATGCACGTCCAATCAAATTATGCTGAACTTTAAAGAGAGTGCATACTATATATATGATATCATTATAAAACAGCGAAGATGTGGTATGCTTGCTAATGTGATATTTATACATCAAGGACCAACTTATCTAGAAGAGAACTATAAATCACCGTACGGCCTTTAAAAAAACCAAAACCTAACCATATATTAAAATATTCTTTTAATAACATGTACGTTCTAAATCGTATTTGTTGAATTGGTGGTCTGCGAACTCAAGGGACAAAAGAATTTAATCAGAAGTCTTTTTTGTTTTTTCCTTTTTTTTCTTAAAGCTTGTTCACAAAATAAAAATTTCATAATACTTGAAACCCTGTATGTACCAACCATGTTTCTCCATCTACATGTTAAAACATACTGTTAGAATGTAAAGTTTTAACAGGATTTTTGAAACGCTATCCATTGCTCTAACATACGTAAATATTTTTGTTTTTTTTTTTGCTGTTGATTAGCTTTTATTTCAACTGTTATTGCTTTTTTAATCTCATGTATAATGTGTTTTTGTAAAGTGCCAAAACTATGCTAGTTTGTTAATCTTTATTATTAATAATCAATTTAAGATTAAAATATATACTGCTTTGTGGAGAAATAATTCCCTCTTGAACACTGAATCGTATCATTGTAATATAGCATAAATGTGTCTCTGATTATTTGTCTTAAGCAGAATCACTATAAGTTATCAAAAAAAAAAACAAAAAAAAAACTATAAAAACCTGAATAAAAATACAGCTCGGAAAAACAGTGAAATTTGTGTACATATATCTGATTTAGAAATTAAAAAATATATAAATGTTATCATTCTTCCATTCAGAATAAATATAATCATTGGGGTATATTGAATGAGTAATTATAAAAGAATATTAAAAAGAATATACAGCTTTAATCGAATGTCACACCTAAATGAATGACTTAACTAATTGTCAGTTCAATTATTGACTCTCAGAGGCAAACACTTATATAGATTAATGATAAAAGGGCGATAACCGTCTTTATGTTTTTTATAATAGAGAAACCACACATAGAGCAAACCTTTTATCTACTTGAAAAAAAAATAGAATAGCAGTGGAAATATTACTTTTTTTAAGACAACATAATTTGTTTTTAATTGTTGCATTTTTTGCTTAGTCTTTTTTGTTTACATTAGGATCTCACCTTTTCTTCTTCTTTTTATTCCATCAATTGACATATCGTTATTGTTATTACTGTCGAGAGTAGATAAATATCGTAATGCACGAAATTTTGTAGTGAAATCTGTTTCTCTAATGATTTTTAGACGATATGCAGACAATCATAATTATTCTTTTCGAATGATCTGCAAAACGATGCGTTGTTTTAATGTGACGTCATCAGGCATGGTCGGCTTTTTTGTGGCGTCACTATTGGAATTTCAGAGGAAAGCAAGGAAAAAAGACTTAAGAAAATCACACGGAGAAAAGCTAATTCCACAAAACAAACAAGGTTAGATTTCTTGTTATATCCCAGGACTTAAAAGTATATATTCGTATGACGTCATACTTTGCCATGACGTAATTAACAACTCGCTAAACCATTCATGAAATTTTGCGGACTGTGATTGAAAATTTAATCTTATACATTTCCGAAGCGGTAATACATTATTTCTTTTTTGTTTTACATGAATTAGAATAGAAAAAACTGTTATATATTTGTTTTTTAACCTCAATTTGCAGAAAATCCCGGGATCCCTGCATGCATGTATAACGTGTGTGAATATATCACAGTTAAGGTTACGAAAGAAGTTTCGGAAACGTAATTTATCGAAGTGTAAACCAAGGGAAAAATGCTAATTGACCAATCCAATTCAAGTATTTATAGACATGCAAATCATGTTATAATCATTGGTTATTTCAAGAATTACTGAATTATATCAGTTCAATATTTTGAGAAAAATCTAGAATAATTTAAGACGACATCATTCTACAGCGATTCAAACAAAATTTCTTCGAAAAAAACAAAATCAAGCCGCTTCATGATAGGATAAAGTGTGGACCAATAAAATATCAAATATTCATCTTATCTGCCTAAAAACAGTTGAATATGTTACACAATATGACTCTATGATGATAAATACCACTAATGGACCTGTTTGTCTTCATTATAAGGTCACTTTTGGTCCATTTATTCCTCTCATTTCCTCATAATTTCAATTTTTTAGACCAATAATTAAGAAAAATTGTGGTAACTTTCACTCATTAATGAAAACAATTTGATTATAAATGAGTAATTGAGTATTCAACCTGAATGAACCATTCATATAAAAGTTAACTGACTCCATGGAGGTTTATATAAGTTTTTTCGTCAAACATAAGTTTACGCCGCGTTTCACAGAAGGACATAAAACGCTTCCCTTATAGTCAATAATTTGTTGTAAATGCTTTAAAAATGATTTCATTTACTTTTAACTGTATATTTATTTGAATATTACTTAGAAATTTATATTTTTTTTATCATAACAAAATATAAGAAATAAGGAGAAAAAGTCAGAAAAAGCTCCCCAATGTGGCTTGGTCTGTCTATTAATATTCATGGTACAGTGTATTTCAAAGCAATTTTCTCATAAAATGTGTTTTTGAGACTCTATCCATTCAGAATATTTCATTTTTGTAACATTTTACTTAAATAGCATGAACATTTTACAAATGAGAGTACACACAAGGTCAGAGGTGAATGTGCAGCTTCCCATATTAGTTGTAATAACCATCACTGGACGTTAACAAATCAAATGTTCACCTCTTTGTGTATCTGTGTACAAGCTTTAGTAACCATGTAACCATAAGTCTCCAAAATATTCTATAGAAATATTAAATAAAAAAATAATGGTGCTTATAAACACCCAAGATATATGTCTATGACACAGATTTTTTTCAAATATGACACATACTGCTGTCCAGAGACACTTTGGAGCGAAATGATCTGCTTCAGGATCCTTTGCCCCACAGTTTGGGAATAGGATTGTGCTAGTTTTAAATAATAAAGAGTCCGTCTTGCTCCTATACGCATTGTGACTTAAACGTTTTAAACTACATTTCGAAACAAAAATTGTTAACAAAATGCTTCAATATCATGACTATAAATTCATAAATAAGAAGAAGAAGAACATTCTAAAATACTAATGGAGTGTCGTATTTAGCCCTGTAAACAGATACACGTGAAAAAGAATATGCAGGTACACTTTCCGATTTGATTAAGTTTCCGAATACGTTGAAACATATTATGATTGAAAATAGAATTGGTCGTTCAACACTTGTGCGTTGTATAAATACGAGGAAGACGTTAAGCAGGTAGAATGAAAAGACGCTTGCATTATTAACAAATGTCCAAAATAATCACTCTTTCATTATGTTGAAAGTTTATAAATCAAACATCGTTCGCGTGCGTCATTTATGTTAGGAATTCTGGTGCTGTCACAAGGAACGGGAAGCAAAACCAAATATATGCAACTGACAGAACTATAAATAAGGCAAAATATACCAAATATTATGTTTTTGTTCTGCATTAATTGCATTTATTGCATAAACAGCTGCAATTAAAATGTCATTAGATGCGTAATTCTACTTACTGTAATTCTGCACTGAATCCCCAGGGATTTACTAATTCGTGTGATGTGTGATTTATTTTATGTTCCAAGCAACGGTATTCTTTAGATAGCAAATCATTCATTCTCTCCCTATGGATTGTGAAGTCTCCGTCGTTACACTTGAATGCTTTTTCATAGACTATTTTGAGTCTGTAGCGGTCACGTAGTGTATCAATGAATTGAAGTAAGTTTATTCCGAAATCTCCATATGTTCGATCGGGCATTCTTGAACTCCATATCTGGAGGGCGATGACATTTGATCCTTCACAAACTACTAATTGTTCACATCTGGACGAATCTAAATCAAAGACACCTATCTGGCGATACAATGCTTTCCTTTCGTAACGAGTTTCTTTTTTTAATATAACAGTCACAGAAAACTGTTTAATATACCATACAAGAATGTGATTGAAAAAAGCTGGAGGAAGAAACTCAAACTCTAAACATAACCAGCTAGTCTTATGAATAGATTGACTGTCACCAACTAACTGTTTCTTGACGTCTTCAAAAGAGCATGACTTCATCATGCATGGCATGTATAAAACAGTAGAATTTTTTAGGTTTACAATGATATCAAACTTTTTCATAACTTCAAGTAAATGTATTTTGTTCTTTAAAAAGTTCATTTTTTGTTCCTTCTTAAACAGGTGGTATATAAGTGAATCCGTCAATTCTCCATATTCATTTAATATATGCCAATCATCGGCTAGGCTGCTGTCAAATTCCATTTTATCTGATACTAGACATCTAAATGCATCGACCAACCATTTAGGGTCCAAAATAACATGATCATTCAAAGTTTTCTCATCAAAGTAGACAACTGTTCCATTGTCATGGCAGTATTGAAGGCATGATTTGAATTCTTCTTCGGTGGTTATGCCAATATCCTCGTGCATTGAAATTTTTAACAATTTGGCAGTTGTAGAAATTGGCACACCGCTATCCTTCAGCTTTCCTAACACTTGTTGAAACAAAAGCCATTTCAACGGACAGTCTCTACCCCAATGCAGCATACCCATAGCTTGACGTGATATGTCTTTTCTAATCGTTTCAAAAACATCATCAGCATCATCCGTATTAGAAACAAAATACACTTTTCTCAAATGATCTTTCTTGTCTTGTTTAAACAGCACTTCACACAAATATTCTAAAAAACGTTTCTGTTGTTTTTGTCGTTCTGATTTATCCTGCAATAGATGCATTATATCTAGAGATATGGAATATTTTGAGAGAAACATAGATTTGCATAAACATCATGCATGATATTATTGTCATCGAATCAACAGTTGTGTCAGTCTATTCTCACTCCTGTTTGGTAATACTTAATTATCCTTGGCTACTGCATATAAGATTCCTTTTTGTTGAACTCTTATACAACGATAAAGGGGTTCCTACGGGATAAGTCAAGCTTATAATGTTTATTTCGGGAGACTATCAAAATGGTTTCACACCGCTATTTTGTAGGTCTTTTAATAGAAGCCGGTCGGGCAATTTGAACTGCTACAGAAAACTGAGGGAGGGTAAATGGAATAGGTTCATATATTTGCTTTAAAATAGGCTACGGAACTCTTTTTATCTGAAGTAGTCTCATTAATATTTTCCCCGTATTATTCTTAATTCTAATAATTAAGTTAACACAGTTAATATTGTTTTAATGTACAGAAAAGAAATGATTAGCAATTGACAGTGTACGTCTTTATTCGCTTGGATACAATCTGTGACAAAAATTCAGTCCGGAAATGCACCGGAGAATTTAATTATAAAACTGTTTTAATATAATTCAAATATCATGAAATATAGTGCATTGTTGTCTGAGTTTAATGTTGTATTTCAGTAAATGCGATATTATAACAGGTATAATCTACACGAAGGAATGACGTCTCGCAAATCAGAACTGTATTTTAATAATTTTTGGTGCTCATTTTACTTCCAACTGGACGTTCTTACCTTACAAGCCAGTCTAAGCGATTAAAGTAATGTTTAATTGTCATTCAATATCCTTTAGAAAAATAAACATAGGTGAACACTTTGAAGAAAGTGCACGTTAAAACTTCCAACGGGCAAGTATGAAGATGAACAATGCGATAACCATTTGCCAGTGTCACTTGGTTTGTCTCTATACTCTGTGCTTAACGTAACAGACTGGATTTCCCTCCACAAGTTCTGAGCCAGATGAAAACGTCAAAAATCTACTTGCAGGGAACAGCAGTTATATACATGTTATAATTGACCATTCATAACATATGTGCAACTGGCGAACGGAAGAGGTTTATAATGATAAAAAAAAATGAAATTCATCTTTAGTTTACCTGTACTAAATCGGCGCATATGAAAGATCGATAGGAACAATAAGTTAGCATTATGTGCAGAACACCAGTTTTAGGTAGAATAAAATCAACAGTAGTATACCGCTGTTCGAAACTCATAAATCGATAGAGATAAAAACAAATCCGGGTTACAAACTAAAACTGAGGGAAACGCATCGAATATAAGAGGAGAACAACGACACAACAAAAACACAACATTAAAATGTAACACACACAAAAACGAACTATAATATAACAATGGCTATTTTCCTGACTTGGTACAGGACATTTTAAGAAAAAAATGGTGGGTTGAACCTGGTTTTGTTGCATGCCAAACCTCCCGCTTTTATTGCAACGTCAAACACAACACCAAAACGACAACATCACATGACAGGACCACAATACAAATAAATGGGAGAACATATAGGACAAAGAAACACACGAATAATAGCTTACTAAAGGTACTAGGCTTAAAATTCAATACGCCAGACGTGCGTCTCGTCCACACTAGACCAACCAGTGACGCTCAGATGAAAAAAGTTTGAAAGCCAAATCAAGTACAAAGCTGAAGAGCACAGAGGACCAAAACTTCCAAAAAGTTGCGCCTAACACGGCCAGGGTTTTCTGCCTGGGACAAGAACATCCTTATTATTTAGAATAATTTATAATTTTGCAAACAGTAAATTTTATAAAATGACTAAATAATAGATATACATGATAAAACCGAAGTGGGGACTAACTACAGAATAAAAACGGACACATTACATAAAACAACTTAATCCAACACATAAAAATACACAGCCGAGTTAGCCAAAGCCTCAACGCACAAAGTGACGTCACATTTGAAATTCTAAAGTCGTGTTTATAAGTTGTAATCAATTTGAAAAACCATTCAAGAGAATTGCAACTCTTTAAATGAGTGAAGGATGTAGCCAGGTGAAATTAAAAAAACATCTAGAATATAAAATAGATACTATAAGTCAGAAGAGCATTAGTAAAGAAACAAAATAACCTAAATATATCTATAGACTATGAACTCCTTTTTACGATTTCTGATTTTTTTAAATGGCAGGAAAAAGGTGACTCAGAATTATACCTTTTTTTAGCATTAGCATTTCTTGGGTCTTAATTCGTAGAAAAAAAAATGTAGAAGCAGTTTTAAATTTCGGTAATGACCTTTTTATGAGCTATTAAAGTCTTTTATGAGAAGAAAAGACCCAAGAAGTCCGAATATCCGACGAAAAATCATAAACCTGACCTGTTTTCATCCTCAAGATAAAATTGTTCTCATTAACTGTACCGATCTATCAATTTGAATAAAATATGGGATTATCACGTTTTGTATTAGTTTGGAAAACCTTCATATTGATAATGTTAGGGGAAAATGGAGTTACGAAAAATGAGTAAATCTTTAATGTTCTTAAAAAAATAGGAAGCGTGTCTGACGTATAAAGTTATAAGCTTAGTTTCATATCTGTTTTTTTTTACAAACATTTGGTCGATGCCCCGGCTGTTGGATGTTTCCGCCATTGGAATATTACCATCCAACAGCACTTCTGTGTTGACATGAATTACCAATGAATGCTATTACAATTTATTATTATATTTGAAAATAAACTGTTCTCAAAATTTTGAATTGTTAACAAAATATTTTTCACTTACAATTCAAGCTGCTTTATATTTTTCATGTAATAATTTCATGATATATCAACTGACATTACTAGTCAGTTAAGATTACAACCTTACACAACAATAAGTATTATTTTGTTTCTTTCCATTGAAAATTGTCTATATCTATGTATATTCTAGCTGTACTTGCATGAGGTTCTTCTTGGAATTTTTCACAATTAAAAAAAGAAATGCTTCTAGTAAGGTAGTGAAGATGAATTAGACTTTTGACTTTTCTTAAATAGTTACTTATATGTTATATAAGTTATGTTTATACAAAGTTTGATTTCCATTACACTCAGTCGTCATTATTTTAGGATTTTCCCAGGATTTTTTGTTTTCTTTATTATTGAGAAGAAACAGATTTATTATCATATCTTAATCAGCTACATGTGAGTTTATCAGGTGTTCTTAGCAGGGGATTATTTACATCAGTTCCATTACAAATATACATGTTTTGTTAATTAGTGACCACTTGTGGCATCTGGCTTTCCTTTATCCTTTGTTTGTTTGCACATAAACTAGGGTGTAGTTTAGCTCCTCCCATTTAGGAATATCCCATTAAGTAGTTGTATATTGAAAACCAGTACATACTGCCTTTAGTGTCCAGTTTTTTGAATGCAAATTAAACAGATAAAAGAATCATTTTTGCTCAAAAGTGGCTTAGCTATAAAACTTCTTAATGTTTCAGTGATCCGGATTAATACTTTACCAAAGCAGGTTATACAGATTTTTGAACTATCAAATTTTGATTCCGACTAAATACACATTTATTTTGGAATAACTAATATCAAAATGTCTGGCAAATGGAAAGGTGTGTGTAGGAGGAGTAATAAGGATTTCTCCTTATGAGAACCATTGGACTATAAAAATCCATTAAACTGGAATATTACAAGCTGAATGACAAAAAAGGAATTAGGACATCTTCTCAAATGTCAAAACTAGTGTTAAAGCAATTTTATATAGGATAGTAATGAAGCAGTAACATATTTTGTATATATTACTTCTAAACTTTTTCACTTTTGGATTATGAATTACCCCTAAAAAGCTGAGTATTTAATGCTGGCGATATTTGTGTTGTGCATAATTTTACATTTTTAATGTTATCTGAATTTTGGACGACCAATATAAACTGCGACTTTATTAGAGAGTGAATTATATTTGATATAGCCGATTTTAACAGCATCAGATACATATGTTTGTTGTGACCATGCAGAGATATTTCCATCCATGTTTATGAACTGCATTTACCTACAAATGTTCTAGGCAAGTATCTTTTTACTACATGTACAATTGGGTGAGCAACCCAAACAGACATAATAGGTTAATGTGACAATCATTAGGATCCAGCAGCAGCAGCAGTAAACATACATCACCAACATACAAATCTGACTAAAAACTCAAATATTTACATACAAATAAATCTACATAGTAGCCAACAAGATTTTTTTTTGTAGTTGATAGTAAATTTGACAAAGACAGCAACAAAATGTTTTTGTAGTTGAAAGTTCATACAGCATATAGTTTACACTTTCTCAATAAAGTACAAATCAAGTAAAATATAAAGACAACAGTAACAAGAGTAAACAACACTTTAAAAACCTTTTGCACCATAATTGCACCTCTTGACCCACCTGCAACAGGAACCGCTAAAAACCTGGATAGCTGATGAACAAATACTGAGTCACGTCATGAGTCATACAACCAAAGTAACATAATAGCACAAAGACTTATAAAGGAAAAACTGTAAAGTAATTAAAAGATACACAACTTCAGTACCTATAGAAGCTATAACTCAAGACCATCTTGTATTATTTGTGAAGTAGACACTGAATATTTATGCACTGGTATTCACATAAGCTAACTTGGTTATTGACAATAGCATATATATGTCAGATATTGTATTCATTTCTTTATCTTCATGTGATAATTTTGATTTATTTCTTTAGTATAATATCTATATTTTATAACATATACTCCACTTTCTGCCAAAATAATTTCATGATCTATTTACCATATATTTCCTTGCATTATGTACAAAGAGAAACAATTATGTTGTTACAGTTATATGGCATCTCCATAATTGAAGTCAATCGAAATTGTGTTTTTTTGGTAAACACAACAGGTAAATGGAGTATTTAGATTGATTGATTGATTTGTGGTTGCTTTACGCCGCCTCAGCACATAAAGGTGATATCACGGCGATAAATGAA